ATTTTTGTATTTTTAGTAGAGACGGGGTTTCACCATGTTGACCAGGATGGTCTCGATCTCTTGACCTTGTGATCCACCCGCCTCGGCCTCCCAAAGTGCTGGGATTACAGGCGTGGGCCACCGCGCCCGGCCTTGAGTGTATTTTTTATATTAATAGAATATGTGAGAGTATTTGTGACTCTGATAGCCCACCAGGGAAAATAATCAAGAAATGATACTAACATACTAGTAAATGGCTAAGAACAGAGATCTCAAGATATGGGAAAATGAATATGAGGAGTAAACCATGGTGAGTACTTTGCCATATGGGCATAATTAATTTTAAGTAGATAAAGGAAGACTGACTGGGGATGGATAAAGGGGTATATAAGGGTTCATGAGACAGAAGAGACATATAGTAAAACAAATTCCAATATAGACTTGAACTAAAACTATTAGATGATTTCAGCAAAACTGGAATATAAGGCCAGTGAGATTAGGGATATTTGCCTGTTTTGCTCACTGCTGTGTACAAAATACTACCGCAACAGGACAGGCACAGTGGCTCATGCCTGTAATCCCACACTTTGGGAGGCCGAGGCGAGCGGATCACCTGAGGTCAAGAGTTTGAGACCAGCCTGGCCAACAAGGTGAAACCCCATCCCCATCTCTACTAAAAATACAAAAATTAGTTGGGTGTGGTGACGGGTGCCTGCAATCCCAGCTATATGGGAGGCTGAGGCAGGGGAATCACTTGAACCCGGGAGGTGGAGGCTGCAGTGAGCTGAGATCGTGCCATTGGGACAAAAAACTCCATCTCAGAAAAAAAAAAAAATTACTCTTACAACAGTATTTGACACTTAGGAGGTACTCACAGCTATTTATTCAATAAATGAATGAATCAAGAAGGAAGAGTAAGAAGGAAATGAAATTGTTCTAATATTCCCATTGGCAGGGAGAGGGAACAAGTAACACCAGGGGAAAGTGAAGGTATTTTAAAGACTTCATCATCATTATGACGACACAGTGAAGTAGTAAAGAAAATATCAAGGAAAATTATATTCTCAAATAACTGTGTCTGATTATGAGCATAAGAAAATAGAAGATAACCATTAATGGAATGCAAAACCCTGGCTGATCTTCCAAATTAACTGGGTTTGGTGGCAGGAGTGAAAATAGAATGACACCTTACAAACCAGCAAAAATTAGAAGAAAAAAAAGGAACAATTTGATTAAATAATAAACACAAATGGAAGAAATAAAATGAAGTATATTAGTAATTATACAAAAAATGACCAAATCTTCCATTAAAAGATGGAAACTAGTCCAATTTGAATAAAAAACAAAACTTAGCTATACACTATTTGTAGCAAACATCAGCAAAATACACTTTACTTCACAGCCTTATTTCTTTTGACTAGAGTATACATCCATCTATATGCATTTTTCCTTTGTTAAATATTAATATTAAACAATCATGCTGGCCACACACCAAAAAAAACCTTAATGAAATTTAAAAAAATGTTATAGTCCACATTCTCAGACAATACTAATAATAATACAAGAAAATCAGAAGGTAATGGTAAAGGTAGCCAAAAGAATTAACTACTTTGAGGTTGCAAAATTGATCCTTTGAGTTAAAGAAATCACAAAGAAAAATGAGAACCATCTGTAAATACAAAAGAAAAATGCTTTGTATCAATATCTTCCAACACTGGGAAAGTTCTCCAGAGGAAAATGTTTAACATGAAATGCCTTTATTTTGAAACAAGAAACTAAATGTTCTAGCCAAAGAAACTAGGAAGAGAGATATAATGAAAATAAAAAGTAAAATGAATACTACAGAAAAAGATTTTTTTTTTTTTAAATACAAAAGCTATTTTGATAACATAAGGCAGAGCTTAAAAGCAGCATATGCAAATATCTCATGAAACTCTTTGGCAAAAAATTGGAAACGTAAAAGAAATGGATGATTTCCTAAGCAAACGATAAATTTCCAAAACCCACCCAAGAAGTGGCAAACTTTAACAGGGAAATTACTACAGAAGGGTTTCAGAAGGTGATAAAAGCTATTACTGCACAAGGAACTAGGATAAGGAAGGTTCACAGCTCAGTTTTATTTAGCTATCCTTTATTCCAATGTTACTTTACCAATATAGAATGCCCTAGGAAAAGACTGAAAACTCCCCAATACATTCAATAAAA